GCTGGACCGACTGGGGATGGAGTCGCCACTCGCCGGAGATAGGGCGGACCCGAGACAGCTCGTCGGCTGCCCAGTTCCGGTCTCCAGGAATGTGAACTGCACGAAGGGACCTCAGGTGCTTCTGACTCCATATCAAGAGGTGGCGGGCGAGCTGCGACAACCGGCGCGAGCGTAGACCCCCCTGGTGGTTGATGTACGCTACAGCCGTAGTGTTGTCTGAGCGGACAAGCACATGCTGGCCCTTGAGCAACGCTCTGAAGCGGTGCAGGGCGAGCCGTACTGCCAGCAGCTCGAGGCAATTGATGTGCATGAGGCGCTGGGCCCCCGTCCAGGAGCCGGCGGCTGCATGCCCATTGCACATGGCACCCCAACCCGTGGTAGATGCATCCGTGGAGACGATGAGATGCCTGGAAACTCGCTGAATAGGGACGCCCGTCCGTAAAAAGCTGAGGTTCGACCACGGGAAGAAGGTTCGCCGGCATGTCGGAGTCACTGGGACTCGGAGCGAGCCGCGATGCCATGCCCACCTCGGGACTCGATCGCGAAGCCACAGCTGAAGCGGTCTCATATGAAGCAAACCGAGCGGCGTTGCCGCGGCCGCGGATGCCATATGCCCCAGGAGCCTCTGAAAAAGTTTCAGTGGAACCGCACTCTTGCCCTCGAACTGACGAAGACAAGTCAGCAGTGAGTGCGCGCGCTCGATCGTGAGCTGCGCGGACATGGCGACCGAGTCTAACTCCACGCCGAGAAAAGAGATCCTCTGCACGGGGCAAAGTTTGCTCTTTTCTCGGTTGACCCGAAGGCCCAGACGGGCTAGGTGCCGGAGCACCAAGTCTCTGTGTTCGCAAAGCTGAGCTCGAGAGTGTGCTAGTATCAGCCAGTCGTCGAGATAATTCAGGATGCGAACCCCGTGTTCGCGAAGGGGAACAAGGGCTGCCTCGACGATCTTCGTGAAGACGCGAGGGGACAGAGCTAACCCGAATGGGAGAACGGCGTACTGATATGCCTGGCCCTCGAAGGCAAACCGAAGAAACGGTCTGTGTCGAGGTAAGATGGACACATGGAAGTACGCGTCCTTCAGGTCGATCGCTGCAAACCAATCCTGATACCGAACACATTCGAAAATGCGTTTGGCCGTGAGCATTTTGAACGGTAGTCGATGGAGAGAACGGTTCAAAACGCGCAGGTCCAGGATCGGTCGTAACCCACCGGTCTTCTTGGGGACAATGAAGTAGGGGCTGTAAAACCCGGACTCCACCTCGGCTGGAGGGACCGTCTCGATTGCACCCTTCGCCAGCAGGGTCGCAATCTCCGCTCTCAGGACTGGGGCATTGCCACCGACTATCGTGGAGCGAACTCCCCTGAAGCGGGGAGGAGACCGTGCGAACTGAATCGCGTAGCCGAATCTGATCGTTCTGATGACCCAGCGGGATACCCCGGGAAGCGCTAGCCAGGCTTCCAGGAAGTGAGCCAACGGGGTCATGTGAACCACAGACGTCCCCCGGAGGGGCAGCGTGGCGGGTCGACTGGCACGCGTGCAGGGGTTACCCCGCTCGGATGCGTCGAAGCCCGCTCCCCGACAGAAGGGACCAGGGAAAGCGGAGCGTTCCACGGGGGTCCGTTCTGCCGGGGGTCTGGCGAGAGAGGGGGAAGGGATTGGTGTAGCCCGGGGACGACACACGCACCCTTCCGCGCCCTCCGAGACAGAGAGGAGTGAGTGGGCCGACACCCTGGGGCATCGGGGGCACTCACTCCAGTCTGTGAGCTCAGTGAGGATGTCAAGTCTTTCTTTAACCAGTTCAGGGTGCTGCCCACCCGTGGGTGAGCAGCGGGGAGCTGAGAACAAAAGATTCTCCCCCGGCCCTCCACCGGGGGAAGGAGGGGGCCTGCTACCGCCTCCTGTGAAAGACTCGAGATCGTCACTGAGCGGCCCGTGTCAGGATCTTCGCTTGGCCTGGCGTTTAGCGGGGCGAGCGGCCTGAGGGGGCTGTGACGCCGGCCTGCGGCCTCCTCGACGCCGGGGCCCGGGTGAAGGCTGCTGCTGGGGCCGGGCGGGAGGGAGGGGAGCCGCAGGGGGGCGTCCTCGGCGGCGAGCAGGGGGAGGCGCCTGTGCCGACGACTGGGTGGAGGCAGCAGCTGGTCGTCGGGGCAGGATGTGTTTGATGGCCTCCGTCTGCTTCTGGGCGGTGGAGAACTGATGGGCGAAGTCCTCGACCGCACCGCCGAAAAGGCCAACCTGGGACAGCGGAGCGTCGAGCAGACGAGTCCGCTCAGCGCTCCGCGTATCCGACAGGTTGAGCCACAGATGACGCTCCTGAACCACGCTAGTGGCCATCACCTGACCAACGGCGCGAGCAGCCACTTTCGTTGCCCGGAGAGCAAGGTCAGTGGCGGACCGCAGTTCTTTGAATGCCGTCGTGTCAGTCCCGCCCTCGTGCATGTCTCTGAGCAACTTCGCTTGGAAGACCTGCAAAGTGGTCATAGCATGCAGAGCGGAGGCCGCCTGTCCCGCCGCTCTGTAGGATCGCGCCGCCATAGCAGACGAGAACCCACAGGCTTTGGATGGGTGCTTAGGAGGACCACGGGTGGAGGCGCTCTGTGGACACAGCTGCATCGCAACAGAGCGCTCCACCGGGGGCATCCCAGTGTACCCACGGGCGGCCCCGCCGTCGAGGGGGGAAAAGGCGGGGGAGAGATCGCGCTCTCGAGTGGACAAAGGAGCCCCCCAAGAGCGCGACAACTCCGCATGCAGCTCGGGGAAAAAAGGTATTGGAGTCGGCCGTGGCTTCGCAGCGGCAGCCTTGTCCAAAAACCAATTATCCATCCGTGAGAGGTCGGGGCAGGATGGAGGTTTCCATTCTAGCCCGATACTCCCAGCGGCTCGAGACAGCATGGCCGTCATCTCGGGATCTGACGCGGACAACGCTGGGACTCCCGAAGGAGGCAACGCAGCCGGATCTTCCTCTCCCGAGGAATCAAGCCCGCCTAGTGATGCTGTGATAGACATCGCATCATCATCTGGGGCGCTGCTCGAAGCAGCCGGTGCCGCCGAAGAGACAACCGACCGAGTCGAACTAGCGCCCGCTGGCTCACGCACTGAGGCGGGAGGTGTGGCCCGAGGAATCGTCGGGGCTTTATCCCACACCGTCACCGTTAGATCGCCCGGTCCCCGGGTCGACGGGCCCCCTCTCGTGAAGGAAGCCGATCGAGTAGGGGGGACCGGGGCTCTCACTCTAGTGAGATCATTGAGCCGCGACCTCAGTGTGGAGATGGTCATGGTCCCACAGAAGGAACATGAGTCATCCACGAACGCTGCTGCTGCATGCTGAATGCCCAAGCAAACAAAGCAGCGTTCGTGACCATCAGATGACGACAGAAATCTACCACATCCAGAAGGGCACGGGCGAGCCATCTTTAAAAAGACGTGCCGCGTGCAGCTCTTTTACAGAGAGGAGAGAAATTCACTCTTTCAGCGCTGAGGCTACCAGGGAGAAGCGCAAAGTCTGGCAAACCACTGCACAGATCGCAGGCAATGCAGAATCTCGCTGGGTACCGCCGTCACACCAACACTGAAGAGGACGCTCGTCTCGAAGAGTCTTGAATCAGCTTTGAGGAGTGAAGAGGTTCTCTTGGCTCCGAAGCGAAAACATACTGCGGTTGCGTTCACTTCCTCCTTTTATACTCACGGAGTAGGGCGGAGTACGCTATGCAAATTTCCGCAGCCCCAAGGCATTGCATGCCATTGGCTCGTGTTTTAATACTCGAAGAGGATTGGCTTTCTATGCGAAACCCCCAATCTCCGTCACTTCTGACGTAACTCGAAGTGACTACGATAGGGAACCCTTTTTACCTCCTCAAAAACAGCTCTGTTCACAGCGACCCGTTTCGGTGCATATTTAAATGATTTTTTGGACCCCACTGTGTAGATGTTAGAAAGAAAGAGCATAATGGTCATGTAGTAACAGGTCCTCCTTCAAAGTTACATTTATTTGAAAGAATACTTATTTTTTATATTATAAAATAAAATGACAAAAATGCTGATTAAATAATTATGGCACTTTTTGTTTTGTAATGCAATTTCATTTTGAGGTGAGCCTGTCCAAATACTATTGAGGTCACTGTACAGTATGTGTATTGGATTTCTGAGCCAGTCATTTTGGTTTAAGATATGAAATTGAAGTTAGGAGAGCTGTGGATTGACCAGTACTCTTATAGTGTAACTCCTTGCAAAACATGCCTTTTAAATAATGAAAAGACTAAAAGTGGGGTAATTTTTCATTATTGGCAGTGTACATGGTTTTATGATGGATTTTCTTTCTGATATGGGTCCATAAATTTGTGGAGCAGTCTAGTCTCAATCATTAAAGAGTAACTAAACACTTAACCAACTTTTTTTAGTTAATGATCTGTAAGAATGGATCTTTATTAATACCAGTCATTGATTCGAGTAACTTTTTTGGCATTTATTTATAAAGTGTTCTATTTCTACAATATATGGTGTAAAAACGTCTTAGTGCTGCCCTCTTCAGGTTGAATGGTGGCTACTGCAGTTGAATTTTCCTATTGGATGTTTGCTGTGGTACGTGACACAGCGGTTGTTGGTGACATAGGCAAGTTTCATACAGTCTGTACAGCATGTTTCATACATGCGTCTCAGGTGCCAGCCCATTCTCACTCCCAAGGCGTCACCTAACTGACGCCTTGGGAAGCATTTGACCATGCTTCAATATCTGACGCTTTAGGCGCCCTTTAGCGTCAGTTAGATGACGCCCTAGGATCGCGTGTACCCTACCCCCACCCCATACCTAAACCTAACCGCGTCCTCTAACTGACGCTTTCCTTTAGCGTCAGTTAGATGACGCCGTAGGATCGCGTCATGTAAAGGGCGCCTAAAACGTCAAATATTGAAGCATGGTCAAAGGTGACGCCTTGGGGTGAGAATGTGTTGCAGGTGCACGCCCCCCTCCGCTGGGCTCTGCCCACTTTTCCAGCATTTTTCAAATATTGCCAGTGGGTGGAGTCAGGCTCTGACCAGGGGTTTAGTTACCCTTTAAAAAAGAAAAGGAAAAGTCCTAATACATTCAAGCAATCAGACACGGTTTCTTTGTGTCCCCTGTTCCACGGTGGTGTATTCAGCTGATGTGCCTTATAATTTCAGATTGTTCCTGTGGGCTGTTCTACAGACGCGGGATTATTAAAGATTGAACTAAAGCTGCCCAAGATGACTGTTTTATTGTTCTACAGGATCTTCATTTAGGTTTCCCATATATGTGGTTCAGCATTTCCAGAGACACACTGACAGCTCTTACCTTTCAATCCTGTGTTATAAACACTTAGCTTGACCTAAGGCCGCTGCTCAAGTTTGTTAGTGCTTGGAAATGCAATATATAAATATTTCCACAGATTTGTAGTGGTTGAGTTTTTTTTTCAAGCGTGTCCCCAATATCAAAGGTCTTCATGAATAGTTGCCCACGCTAGACATTTTGTTGTTTGCAGTTCATTGGCCTGTAAACATTTATCTCTTTTTGACATCTATAGCAGAGGGTCAATGGTCATTTTAATCTGGTCTCTGTGAATGCTGCTTCCGGTGGAGCTGCGATACAACTCATCCCGTCGACAAAGGAAATGGCGGTTCAGAATCTTCCTAAAAGTGAATCTGAACTCCTGAATACGGTAGGCGTAGATAATGGGATTGACGGCGGAGTTGGCGTGCGAGAGTATGATGGCAGTGTTCATGATGAAACTGGGTTTCTCCAGCTCGCTGTAGAAGAGAGTGAGGCAGTTCAAGATGTGCACAGGCAGCCAACAGAGAGCGAACAGGCCCACGATGATGGAGAGCGATTTAGCGGCACGAATCTCCCGTTGCAGCAGACCATGGTGGTGATTCTCGCCATTACTCACGCTGCATTTGAGCTCGATCTGATGTAGCTGTTTACGTGCTACTGTGAAGATCTTGATGTAAATTCCCAGCATGATAAGCAGAGGCGGCAGCACACAACCAAAGAAGTTGAAGTACACCATGTAGCTCATGTCCACCACGTTCTCAAAGAAGCACTCGAGGCAGCAGCTTTGCAAGAAGCCTGTTTCCATGTCAGCGGCATCACTGCTGTTGCCAGTCTGTATAGAGCCACTTTCATTTCTGGAGCAGGACAAGTCTTTACGGTTCCAGCCTACAAATGGGATGAGCCCAATGATAAAGGATAAGATCCATAAAATGGCAATGATCTCTCTTGCCCTTTTCCCTGTGACAAGCTCCTTATACCTGTACAGAGAAACAAAAATGCAAAAGTCTGAGAATGCTAGAAAAAATGGTTCAATTTTGCATTTATATGCATTAGTAAAATAAATGCAAAATAGGGATAAACCAAATGATATTCTAATGCATAAGAACATCTGACCATCTGTACAAAGAGCCACATGAGAAATGTCACAAATTCACGTATTTGATTAGTGACCTAGAAATATTGCAGAACATTAATTATTTCTTCTTCGTTTTAGGTCACATTTCTTTGTTTTTATAGACCCTTTTTGCGCCGACGTCACAGTTACGTCACGGCGCTAGCTGGAGGCAAAACAAAGTGAAAACTGGAGGCGGCCAATACAAAACAGCACAGATTTGGCTACATAATAAGGAGCTTAAATTATTGTTACTATTATTAAATGTCATCTTGTTGTGTTGTTTGGTGCAAGAATTGATGAAAAATGAATATGCTGTATCTGGAACTTTTATTTCTAGAAAATATTCACATCATAAAAATCACACTGTAATGTCACTGTTTACATTGTCGTCGTCTCGGCGCTGGCTCTGCAGAACTGCGGATCATACACACAAGTCTTGTACAGGACCATATGGCATCTAAAGATTTAAATGCCCTCAGTTTCTCTTTACGATCGGTTTCTCTATAAGGTAGGTGTAGAAGTCAGGCCACTCAACCGAGGTAACGTACGTTAATCCTGTCAGATCGTCCATGCATTGAGTGAGTGTGTAGGCGGCTATTACAGGTTGGCCAATCTGGTTCCGTCTGTTAAGAAAACTTTTGAAAATAACAATCACGGTCCTGGACACTGAGTGACCTTACACATTAAGATAATATCGGATTTTCTCCAGTCATTGTTAAAAAACAAGCTAACAATCCTTGCTAACTAGCGTTAGTGAAGCGGCCAGAGGGATCGTTCTGCCTCCACCTAATCTCCGCCCACAAAAAAACGTCACCATGTTTACCAACTGAAAAGGGGTCTATAAAACTTTATAAAACTTTTAAGGTTTAAAACAAATTCCTAGATTTCTTAGAATTTTGGATCCCACTGTTTGTATTCATTTAATAAAATACCAAAAGCTTAAGCTTGAAAATTATATCTCACACTGTAAATGTATTTCCTTATATATTTCACTATTTTTATATTGTACTCTGAAGTTTCAACAGATGTATTGTTCAAAATAAATATACTTACATAAAGAAAAGGCCATGTTGTGGTTGTCAAACTTTAGTAGTGAACTATACATGTGTTTACTCTGCTAGAATAACCTTTTGAACTCTTATTTTTAGTGGTTGTATGAAGCCAGTTCTTCCATTGTAACAATGAAAAAGTAAATTGTTGCAAAAAAGTAGCATTGTTGGCAAAAAAAAAAAGACTCAGAAAAGGAAGTCAGTTCAGACAAAACGCTTGTGAATCATTTGTTTACAGCCAGTAGCATTATATTTTGTCTAAAGTGTAATGACATTCATGAATGTTTAAGTGTGACTTTAATGTCCACTACTCCTGTTTTTGTAGAGATATAATACATTTGAGAGGGCAAGAGAGAGAGGAGAAAAGAGCTTAACATAAACACTCAAGTGAATGATGTCTTTAGCTTTCACTTGGAGGCGCTTCATCATCCTCAGACAGCTCTGATTCTGCTTCTACTGATGGACTAAATGAGTAATACACGAGGTGCATAATTCATCGCACCCACCATAACCTTTCTCTGAGAGACCTTGAATGCCACAGCCATCAGTGGTGCTGCCCCAGGGACAGATAGAGAAGGGGGTTGGGAAAGCACTGATAAAATTTGCCTGCAAACTACATTATCTTGCACAAGCATTACTGTTACTGTTCCATAATTTTTATTGTAGTGTTGATATTCTTAACTAATAACCAAAATAAAATATAAATATTAGACGAAAAACTTTGAAAATTTGAAATGAGTTGAAATTGCAGTACTAAAACGGAAAAATAAAGTTGGTCAAACATATTAAAGAGTAACTAAACACTTAACCAACTTTTTGGATGTTCCGCACTTCGTGACAGGTTTCAGGGGCCTCGTGTATAAACATTGCGTACGCACAAAATGGGCATAGAAATATGCGTACGCATTTTTCCACGCGCACATCGGGATTTATAAAAAATAAACTCGGCGTAAATAAGTGCGCACCGTAAGGATGCTCTTGACCGTGCGTACGCACTCTTTTAGAAGAGTATGGGTTTTGGCGACACCGATGGTGAGCTGGAGTCAAATGTCTTTTTGCTTACTATTAGACAGAGAATCTAAAGAAAATTATACATCTACAGAAAGATAATACAAATATAATTTCACAAACCTATCATCACTTGAAGCAAACATCCATCCCTTCTTAAATGACCGCGCCAGCACTGGGCCGTGTTGGGCCGTTTGGTGAAACTGACGCACATATAGCCTATAATCTAACGGCAGATGAAGTAAAACCGTAAATCTTCATTATGAGTCCAAATCATAAATACAGTCCATATTCACAATAACAGTTTAAATAAATAAGAGAATGGTTTAAACTATGTTTTACTTCTGATATAAACATTTAGATTAAATATGCCATTAAAATATGAAAAATATATTTTTTTTCATAAGATAAAATATTTTAAATATGAGTTAAACTCTTAAACTACATGAAATCATTACTGAGAAGTTACAATATATATATATATATATATATATATATATATATATATATATATTCAATAAAAAAAATAGACCTATTTGTTGTGGATGCATTGCTTTTGAACACTTTTCTTCTGGCATGCTGTGTTTTAATGTTTTAACTAGAGATTGTCTGAGAAAACTGTTTCGTGCAAATAATGCACAACCATGTCTATCTCTTTCCATTAAAATATAAATCAATTAAAAATACTATTTGGCCAGTGGAAAAGATTGAGAAAAACTTTCTCTGAAATGTATTTAACACTATTTGATTTAATCATTCAAAAACAAGGCAAGGATATAGGCCATTAAAACAAAATGTTTGTAATAATGTGACGGCACATCCGCATTTCATATTTTTCTAACGTCTTGTACCGTTAAACTTGGTATCACGTGGATGAATAATCATATGCAAATGGTATGCAGATGAGGATATGCATATTTAAACTAGGCGTTGTAATCTCCATATATGGTTATTTCGGGGAGGAGACGCACATGCGCATAATCTTCCGCTGACTGGGATTTATAAAGTGAATTCTGCGCAGGTTCTGGCGTACGAACGGTTTTATAAATCTGAAAACTTTTGTGCGTACGCAAATTCTGCCTTATGTGCGTACGCACACTTTAAGGATGAAATCTACGCAAAGTTTTATACATGAGGCCCCTGGTCACCACACGAGCTACGCCCTTGGCAATATAAAAAACCATCTTGTGTCGTCAAAACCACTGTAGGGAGTCAGGAATTGGAATGTGAGTATTGAAAACGATCAGGATAGAGTGTTTTAGCATCTATTTCGTGTCCCTCTATCTCCACTGGGGTCTGCCCACTCTTTCAGCATTTTCAAATATTGCCAGTGGGTGGAGTCAGGCTCTGACAAGCTCTGACGCTAAATTACTAATTCTAAAACTGAAATGAAAACTGAATATATATATAGTCATGGTCAGAATTGATGGCACCCCTGGTAAATATGATCAAAACTGGCTGTAAAAAATAAATCTGCTGTGCTTATCCTTTTGATCTTTCATTCAAAAAATTTGCAAAATTCTAACCTTTCATTGAAGTAAAAGAATTGAAAGTGGGGTGGAAATCACATTATGAAATAAATGTTTTTCTCCAAAACACGTTGGCCACAATTAATTGGCACCTTTTTATTAAATACTTTTTGCAATCTCCTTTTGCCAATATACCAGCTCTGAGTCTTCTCCTATAATGCCTGATGAGTTTGGAGAACACCTGACAAGAGATCAGAGACCATTCCTCCATTCAGAATCTCTCCAGATCCTGCAGATTCTCAGATCCATGCTTCTTCTCTTCAGTTCAGACCACTCATCAGGGGCCTCATGTATAAAACTTTGCGTAAATTTCATCCTTAAAGTGTGCGTACGCACATAAGGCAGAATTTGCGTACGCACAAAAGTTTTCAGATTTATAAAACCGTTCGTACGCCAGAACCTGCGCAGAATTCACTTTATAAATCCCAGTCAACGGGAGATTATACGCATGTGCGTCTCCTCCCGGAAATAACCATATATGGAGATTACAACGCCTAGTTTTAATATGCATATCCTAATCTGCATATCATTTGCATATGATTATTCATCCACGTGATACCAAGTTTAACGGTACAAGACGTTTGGAAAATATGAAATGCGGATGTGCCGTCACATTAGGCCTATTACAAACATTATACAGTAGCCTATACAGATATATACAGATACAGTAGCCTATATCCTTGCCTTGTTTTTGAATGAATAAATCAAATAGTGTTAAATACATTTCAGAGAAAGTTTTTCTCAATCTTTTCCACTGGCCAAATAGTATTTTTAATTGATTTATATTTTAATGGAAAGAGATAGAAATGGTTGTGCATTATTTGCACGAAACAGTTTTCTCAGACAATCTCTAGTTAAAAAATTAAAACACAGCATGCCAGAAGAAAAGTGTTCAAAAGCAATGCATCCACAACAAATAGGTCTATTTCTATTTATTGAATATATATATATATATACATATATATATATATATATATATTGTAACTTCTCAGTAATGATTTCATGTAGTTTAATAGTTTAACTCCATTAATGAGAATGGCATATTTATTCGAAATGTTTATGTCAGAAGTAAAACATAGTTTAAACCATTCTCTTATTTATTTAAACTGTTATTGTGAATATGGACTGTGTTTATGATTTGGACTCATAATGAAGATTTACGGTTTTACTCCATCTGCTGTTAGATTATAGGCTATATGTGCGTCAGTTTCACCAAACGGCCCAACGCGCGTGCTGGCGCGGTCATTAAGAAGGGATGGATGTTTGCTTCAAGTGAT